TGAGAAACAGCATTATTTGTAGGATGTTTTGGAAGATAGAATCCAACATTCACCACATTGAAGAGAAAAATAAGTGGAAACATATATAAAAGGCTAAGAAATAAGGAAAGTCGAGTGAGAGAATCTTTATAATATGTAAAATGTTCAGAACTAGATTTGAAGTATTACATGCAGTATCATAACCAGGTTTAGGAAACACCCCAAGTATTACAACCTAAAGAACACATGCACCCCAAATGTCAGTGTGTCTCCAAAAGAAGCAAATCATACCACGTTTTCTTATATACTGGACTGTGTTTCACTGCTATTCGGAAGGTTTTCAGTAGCCAATTCTCTCAGAAATAGATGGCTGCATCCTTCCCAGTCTGTCTTACTCTGGAAGCTCTGCTGAAACTTGTCCATTGGTGGCCTTGCTGGTATTTGAAAGAGAGTTGGAATAACCTGCAGCCTCCCAGCAACATGCAAGTCACCCCAGTATGAAAAACAGACAGACAAGTGGACAGTCTCATATAAAGGTCTGTGAAGAGTGTATCAGCCCTGAGTGTGTGCCTCCCATTCCTCCAACTCCAGGGTGTGCAATGAATGAGGGACCAGTGCGGTGCTCTGACATCCCTCTGTTGTGGGTGCTGAAGCCTTGAGTCCAGAGACTGCCCACCCCCAAGTTTAAGGAGCAGCTGTGATATTAAAGTCAGGCTCATTCCTGATGGACACAGACTCCTCTGAAGGGCACCTTTGCGTTGATGACCCAGATGGACTTCCTGGACCCACATTGGACTGCACAGCAGTTTAAGAAGACACAGCAGTCGAAGAAGTCACACCGATCCTTCTTCCTGCTCTTCCAGTGATCAGCCAGGCATCGTGCCTCACAGCTCCCCTGCCTTTCTGGCCTCCTCTGCCTTGTCTCTCACACATACCATCCAGAAAAATGGAATCCTGTCTTGTTGCTTCCATCTTAGAGCACCCAGACTGACACATACCCTATAATAAAGTTATGATGATAGGAACATGCTGGTATTGGCAAATATAAAAACTTCATACCACCCATGAATTAGGTGGCTTTGCTGAACTGGACACAATGAATGGAGACTAGGAGAAAATGTGACACCAGCCCAGAGCTACCTCTGACCCACACACTCTTATGTGGGGAGGAGGGTCAGATGTGAACCTCATTCTGCTTTTATGTGTCACTGACAGTCACCTAGCCACCTTCTTGGCTCTACCCTGAATGCCAAAGTGTGTCCTAACTGGGAAACCCCACTACAGTCTCTGTGCTGAGTCTGACCTTTCAGGGGGGGATCACCAGGCCTGCCTCCCAAGACATCACTGATTGGATTCAAACTGCCAGCCTTGGAGCTGGTCATCATCCCCTAACCATTAATGGTGCCCAGTGACTCCATCTGCCCTGAGTCCGATTGGAAGATACTCCCAGACTTCCCTGAGCTTCATCAGAGCTCTGGTGCTGGGGATCCAGACAGAGTCATTTCCACCCACAAGGGACAGACTTCTTTGTGTCTGTGAGAATGCTTCCTCCTGTTACAACTTTTCAATTCAGAGATATCAGGGGGAGAGAGAGAATCATAAAAATAGAGATATTCCCTAGGGGAAATGTGAGATGAAGTATCCCAAGACAACAGCAGGAAACCAGCCCTTAAACTTCATCTGCACCTGCTCTTGGGTTTGAGTACTGAGTTTGGTGGGGTCTGGAGCGCCCCCTGCTGCCAGGCCCTATGCCTGCAGGGGAGGTTTATGTTTGGGCTCACACTGACTTCCACTCAGTTTCCCTCGCACAGTAATACAGGGCCGTGTCCTCTAATTTCCGACTGTCCATTTGCAGATACAGCATGTTCTTGGTGTTGTCTCTGGAGATGGTGAATCGATCTTTCACGGAGTCTCTGTAGTTCTTATTACTACGATCAGGGTTAATTCGTCCAACCCAGTACAGCCCCTGCCCTGGAGCCTGGCGGATCCATTCCACCCTGTAGCTGCTGAAGGTGAATCCAGAGGCTGCACAGGAGAGTCTCAGAGACCCCCCAGGCTGACTCAGGCCTCCCCCAGACTCCACCAGCTGCACTTCACACTGGACACCTGCAAACACAGAGACATCCTGGTCAGGAAACCATCACACATGTCCACGGTCTCTCTCACCCATGCCCATTCACATGCACTTGCTCTCCATCAAATGACATTTTAAAGCAGCAACAAGGAAAACCCAGCTCAGCACAGAATCCATGGAGACTCTTCTGCGTTCAGTCCACATCACTGAATGGGGACACCTGGAATGCCAGGGTTGGGGCTCCCTCCCAGAGCTGCAGGGTTGGGGCTGGGCTGGTTTTCATCAGCAGAGGGAGGGGCCCTATTTGCATATCCCCCTCCTATATAGCAAATTATGGGGTTGGATGTCTTCAGAGGGGGCAGTGATTAAGAGCAGAAATAAGCGTTCTGGCAGAGTTTGATGGCAATTATGGTCTTTGGGAAAACATCATTTCTTATCTTGTGATTGTGCTGAGCTAAACCCTTAATTCCCATTGTGTTATTCATTTTCACATATGCACACCAACCATGTGAGGTAGATGTCAACACTACCTTTATTGAACAGATGTAAAAAGGCAAACACTTGTTCATTGGAATCTGTGAGGTGTGAAAAATAATTTAGTTGGTAATAGTAATGTCAGGGGGAGCTCTGGTAGCATAGTGCCTGAGGCATTTGACTGCTAACGAGAAGGCTGGTGGTTCAAACCCACCAGCCACTCCTCGGAAGGAAGATGAGGCAATCTACTCATCTTAGTGATACCGATTCGGAAACCCACGGAGGGGTCGCTATGAGTTGGGTCCCAGTAGCCGGCATATAGCAACAACAACAACAACAACAACAGTAATCTCAGGATTTGGGTCTGTGCTCCTCCCAACTGACTGCTGCCCTGAACCTCCTCCAGGACAGAACTGGATTAGGTTACATCTAGAATTTGCATACATGGAATTAACTACCATGTGATGTTAAATATTTAGTTCCTTCCCCTCAGTGTTAGGCTTGGGAGTGATTCCATAACGTGTGTCTGAATGGTGACTAATAGCCAGTGTGTGTGTACACCTCAGGAGCTCCAGTCACATAGTGGCTAACGCACCTGGCTGTCTGCTTTGGTGAAGATGTACAGCCTTGGGAACCATAAGAGACAGTTCTACTCCGTCTTACAGGGTCGCTATCATTCAGAATGCATATTGTAGCAAGGGTTTGGTTTTGGCTTTAACATATACCTCAGTTAGCTTCTTTATTCATCTTTTGATGAGTATCGCATTGATTCCACTTTCTAGATTTTACAAGGACAACTACCACCCCTCTTGGAGACTTTGGGTTCTCAGAATAGTGTCACTCTTATTCTCACAGAAACCCAGGAAGGTGCTAAACAGAATCACCACTCTCTCCAGACAAGTCCCTTCCTGTCTTAACTATAAAATCTTCATCTGCTGGGAAAACTGCAAACAGAAGTATATAGCCCCCATAACCTCATCCATCTACCATGTTAACAACTGTGAAGTAAAAATAACAATGGAGTGTATCTTGTTGCTGTTGTTAGTTTCCCTCAAGTTGTCTCTGACCCATAGTGACCTCATGTCCAGCAGAACAAAACACCGCCTGGTCCTGTGCCAACCCCACGATCTTTGCTGTCCCTGGGCGCCCCTGTGTCAGTCTAGCTCATCGAGGGCCTTGCCCATTTATTTGTCCTCCACTTTACCAACCACGATCTACTTCTCCAGGGAATGGTCCCTTCTTACCACGTGGTCGAAGAAGGTGCAGCAATGTCTGGGCATTCTCACTCCAAGCAGCATTCCAGCTGCACCGCTTCCAGGACAGATCTGTCAGTTCTTTGAGCAGCCCAAGGTGCTCTCAGCATCCTTCCCCAGCACCACAGCTCACAAGCATTGACCCTTCGTTTTCCTCTCCACTGTCCAGCTCTCAAATGCATATGAGGTGATTGAAAATACCATGGTCTGCGTCGAGTGCACCTTTGACTTCAAGGAATCATCTTTGCTCTTTGGCACTCGAAAAAGGTCCTTTGCAGCAGATCTGCGCAATGCTATACAACTTCTGAAATCTTGTCTGCTGCTTCCACTGGTGTTGATTGTAGAAGCAAGTAATATGAAGTCTTTGACAACTTCAATCTTTTCTCCATTTATCGTGATGCTGCTTATTGGTCCAGTTGTGAGGATTTTTGTTTTCTTTATATTGAGGTGTAATCCATACTGTAGAGTGATGTCTTCAATATTCATCAATAAGTGTTTTAAGTCATCCTCACTTTCACAGCAACAAAGTTGTGTCGTCTCCGTAATGCAGGTTGTTAATGATTCTTCCTCCAATCCTGATGCCATGTTCTTCTTCATATGTTCTAGCGTCTCTGATTATTTTGTTCAGCATACAGATTGAATAAGTATGATTAGGTTACAGGATACGATCCTGACACACTCCATTCTTGATTTTAAACCATGCAGTATCCCCTTGTTCTATTTAAATGACAGCCTCCTGGTCTACATACAAGTTCCTCATGAGCACAATTAAGTGTTCTGTAATTTCCATTCTTCTCAAACATACCTGTAATTCATTATGATCCACACAATCTAATGCTTTTGCATACTCAGTAAAACACAAGTAAACATCTTTCTAGTATTCTTTGCTTTGGGCCCAGACCCATCTGACATCAGGAATGATATCTTTCATTCCACACCCTCTTCTGAATCCATTCTGCAGCTCTGGAATTTCTCTACCAATTTACTGATGTAACTGTGCTTTAATTATCTTTAGTAAGATTTTACTTGTATGTGATATTAATGACATTGTATGACAATTTCCACATTCTGTGGGTCACCTTTCTTTGGAATGGGTACAAATATGGAACTTTTCCAGTTATTTGGGCAGGTGGTTGGCTTCTAAATCTCTTGTCATAGCTGAGTGAGTGCCTCCGGTGGGGCATCCATTTTCTGAAACATGTCCGTGGGTATTCCATTAATTCCTGGAGCCTTATTTTTCACCACTTCCTTCAGTGCAGCTTCGACTTCTTTCAATGCCATTGGTTCTTGATCATATGCCACCTCCTGAAATGGATGAACATCAACCAATTCCTTTAGGTACAGTGACTCCATGTGTTCCTTCCATCTTCTTTTGATGTTCCCTGCATCACTCAATATATTGCACATAGAAACTTTCAATAATGTGACTCGGGGCTTTATATTTTTCCTCAGTACATTCAGCTTGAGAAATGCCAAGCATGCTCCTCCCTTTTGGCTTTCTAAGTCCTTGTCTTTGCATGTTTCATTATAATAATTGACTTTGTCTCCTCGAGCTGCTCTTTGGAATCTTCTGTTCAGCTCTATAATCTTGCAATTTATTCCATTTGATTTAGCTACTCTTTATTCAAGAGAAAATCTCATAGTCTCTTCTGACATCCACTTTGGCCTTTTCTTCTATTCCTTTCTTTTGAATGACTTTTTTTTTTTTTTTTTTTATCATGTTCTTGATGTCATTCCACAATTGTTCTGGGTTTTTGTCCTTGGAGATCAATGCATCAAATTTATTCTTTAAATGGTCTTTAAATTTGGGAGGGATATTATCAAGCTCATAATTTGGCTCTTGTTGATTGTTTTAATTGTCTTCAACTTCAACTTCAACTTGTATATGAGCAGTTCTACAATCAGTTTCCTGCCTGCATTTGGCTGGCAAAAGATATTGAGTTTTTCTATAGCCTCTTGCCACAAATATACTCAATCTGATTCCTGTGTACTCCATCTGACAAAGTCCACATGTATAGTCTGTCTGTGTTGTTGAAAAAGGTGTTGGCAATGAATAATTCATTGGTCTTGCAAAATTCTATCATGCGGTCTCCAGCATTAGTTCTATCACCGGGAACAAATTTTCCAACTACTAGTGATTCTTGGTTTCCAACTTTTGCATTCCAGTCACCAACGAAAGACAGCACATCTTGATTGCACATTTTGTGAATTTCAGACTGCAGATGTTGGTAAAAATCTTCCATTTCCTCATCTTTGGCTTTGGTGGTTGGTGTGAAAATTTGAATTATAGTAGTATTTACTGGCTTTCCTTGTAGGCATAAGTATATTATTCTATCACTGACAGCATTGTACTTCAGGATACATCTGGAAACATTCTTTGCAACCATGAATGCCACAACATTTGTCATTCCTGGCAAAGTTGATCATATGGTTTTCTGATTAAAAGTGACACAAACCAGTCCATTTCAGCTCACTGATTCCTAGGATACCAATCTTTATATGTTCCATTTCATTTTTCAAAACTTCTAATTTTCCTGGATTCATACTTCCTAACTTTCATGTTCTGATTAGTTTTATTATTATTATTATTTATTTTTACATTTTTTTATTGTTATTATTAGGATTTGGGTGAAGATTTACAGAGTAAATTCACTTTTC